CCACAAGGCAGGACTGGAATTATTTATCCAGTATTGATATATCTTTATTCAAAAACTGCTCATTTATAAATATATACTCACATACACATGCAAACACACATTGATCAACCATCCTTACCAGAAAACAGGAAACGGTCTTACTTTTTAACATTCTATTCGCCATTCTTCCATTTTGCTCTCTGAAAAAATTCAACTGAGGTTGGGCGCCGTGGCTCATGCCTGTAATCCCAGCTCTTTGGAAGGCCAAGGCGGGCAGATCACAAGGTCAGGAGATGAAGACCATCCTGGCCAACATGGTGAAACCCCATCTCTACTAAAAATAAAAAAAAAAATAGCAGGGCGTGGCTGCGCGTGCCTGTAGTCCCAGCTACTCAGGAAGCTGAGGCAGGAGAATTGCTTGAATCTGGGAGGCGGAGGCTGCAGTGAGCCAAGATTGTACCACTGCACTCCAGCCTGGTGACAGAGCAAGACTCCAACAACAACAACAAAAAAATCAACTGAAACAATGTATTCCATTAGTTATAAAGTCTGTTTCCTCCTAAATCTTCCTATTTATAGCTTTCAGATGCTAGTAAGTCTGTATACAAATAGCCAGAGGCAATCACAAACTGCTCTAAAGTGCATTAATATGTACCCTTTCTGGAAGAGGCTGATTATGTTCCAAATTAGCATAAATAAAGATCTAATGTAGGTATAGTGCAATAAACCCTCAGCAGAGGATGGGAGGACTGGTGGAGGGAGAATTGTATTAAAAAAAAAGTTATTCCACTTAAGAAGTAAACTTGTATTTGGCTAACAAAGTAAGACTCACCATGACAGAGGGGAAAAAAAATTAAAAAGAAGAACTGTTATTTGAGAACTATGAACTAGATTTTGGAAAGGTGAGACACCCACTACTTGAAGTCACAAACTCAGCATTAAATCATATATTCATTTAACCAGGTACCAACTTTCCTTCTGTTAGAAACCCTGGATTTTTACACCTACAGACTAAATGATTAAAGTATTGCTAAAATCTTCTGTAATGTTCCTCTTGCATTGCAAATAAGTCTATTAAAGCAGAAAAGTGCCAATCAAATGCTTTTGAAAAAATGGTTTAAATAACAAAGCATTTTTTGCAGGTCTCTCTTCTTGTCTTTAATGTCGCCTATAAACTAATTACAACAAATTTTCATCTTCTCTTGATAAAATCACAACTGAAACTAGGCATGGTGGCATGCACCTGTAGTCCCAGCTACTGGGAGGCTAAGGCAGGAGGGTGGATCACTTGAGCCCAGGAGTTAAAGTACAGCCTGGGCAATAAAAGAAGATTCCCATCTCAAAAAACTAAAAAGAAACCCAGAACTGAAAAAGATTTTTCAGATAGCTTCCTAAAAATATACCCTAACCAAAAACTAACAAGATATTCTAGCTTTTGTTTTACCACATTTTGCTGACAAGGTAATACTATGTAGGAATTTTATAGTAAATTTCAAGACACAAGATTTCTTTTAATATAAAGCAATATTTTATTTATTTCAAAGACATTATTCAAATCATGAAAAAAAAATCCCTACCTGTTAAAATTACCAACTGAAATATATGGAGCAAGTTTCATGACAGTAACACAAAGTACAAATAAGAAATAAACTAAGATCTTCCTTTCCTATCACTGCCAACTGGTAAACACCTTCCTCCTTCTCAAACTTCTGTAAGCTCTCTCAAATTGCAGTTCCTAAAACAAGAAAGCAGCTAGGTTTTAAGTTTCATTCAAAAATCTCCTCCCCTAACAATCTAAAATGCACAAAGTATATGTGACATTAGAACGTAAGCTCCACAAGGGCAGGCAATTTTCTCTCTTGTTCGTTATTATACTCCAAGTGTGTAGAACAATATGATAAATTTAACCATCCATTTCAGAAAAATATGATTATTTCAGAGACTAAAGCAAAGCACATCAATCTCTACTTCTGTATTCCAAATGTTTTAAAGAAGTCTCTGCTTGCCACTAACTCTCTGAAGTTATTCAGAATAATATGTAATTATTTTAGAAATTATAGATTGCAGGAACTTAGTTGTAGCTTTTATTGCCCTTCTAAAATGACCTAATTATTCAGACTGGCCTTTTTTTCTAGAAAGTCCAATTTACCTAATTATTCAGACTAGCCTTTTTACTAGAAAGTCCAATTTGTCTGAAAAGTCTTTTGAAGACTTTCACTAATGAAACAAAAATAATTCACTTAAAATATTTTTTTCTTAGATTTTCTTCCTATACCAAGTAGTCAAATTCTTATTAACAGGACAAGAGGAATTAGATATTTCCAGGTCTCAAAAACTTTCTGATCTAACTATATAAGAAACTGGCATCACATCAACTGGTAGTTCTAAACACCCCCTTCCCCAATTATAGCCCACACATGAAAGTTTCTCTTTCCTCTAGTATTCCATTTAATCTCATATTTTATTTTAGTAGCTAGTCAATGTACACATGACTTATATGTGCATTTTCTTCGTTTTGTAGTAATCTTAAAACACGGGCCTAGCTGGGTAAGCATAAAGACTTCTTCCTGGAAATGGATAAAATTTGACAATTTTTAATCTGATACTTTCTTTAGTTTGTTAAAATTAGGACCTCACCATGACAGGGCATATTGCTGTGGCGGCTGGTAGCCAGCAAACTTGTCACCTGATCTTCATATGCACAAGGCCTGTATTCCACTAGTCTATAAAATCATAAAACCAAAAATATCCAATTGCCCAACTCACTGAGCAGCTAATACAGTTCTAGAAATCTCACTTTTCTTCTTCTCACCTGTTTACTTCAACACCATGTGTCCCCAAACCTAAGGCCCTCCAAAATTGAGCTCCATAAAAATCACAACCCCAATCTTGAAAATTAAGCCTTGAGTACTGAACATCAGCAATTCTTCAAGGGCAATTTCAAAAGCTTTCGTAGGAGACTACCGGAATGATGGCACAGGAATATCACCATGCACTATGTGTGCAACAACTTTGTTATATTCTAAGAATCACAAAGAACAAAGGCAGGAAAATCAATGTAAACTTTTTTTCTTTCACTAGAAAGATACAGATTCTTCATTTTAAAGCAAAAACGCAGAAAGTAGCCACATCTTGACTAGGCAAACTTACAGCTGACCCTCAGTATCCATGGGAGATTGGTTCTGGGACCTCTCTAGGAAACCAAAATCCACAAATGCTCAAATCCCTTACATAAAATGGTGTAGTATTTGCATTTAACCTAAGCACATTCTCCCATATACTTTAAATCATCTCTAGGTTACTTATAATACCTAATACAAGTAAATGTTATGTATTAATAAATCGTTGTTATACTGTATTGTTTATGGAATTGTGGCAAGAAAAAACGTCTATATATATTCTATTCCATCTATTCCCCCACACCCAAAATATTTTTGCTCTGCAGTTGGTTAAATCCACAGATGTAGAACCCAGGGACAGGAAGGGTTGACTGTATGTAACTGGGGGTGGCGGGGGATCTATATAAATATTCCCACAAGATGCAAAGGGTACTTGGGATTGGGAACAGGGGCAGAAATGAAAACAAACCATTATAAACTTAAGGACGACGGGTTATCACTTAAATTTGGTGTCTCTAGCTATATAATTTATGTATAAAATGGTGATTGTGTTTTAAAACTTTGGCAACAAGTTACAACGGTAACATCAGAATCGCGTTCACTTGAAAACACTGGGTGAACGGTCTCTATAATTTTTTTTGCTGAAATTTATACACGGCCACGCGGTGAGAAAACTTGACTTTAGCACCATTTTGGTATTTTTAATAGAAAAAACAGTGGAGATTTTCACATGTCTAGAAAGGTAACATGTTCAACTCAGGTTTGGTCAATGCTGATTCTAAGGACAGTACTACACCCGCAAGCTTCCAAACTACTTCCTGATTCATTCAGATTTTTATTGGAGAGCTGTCATCCTGCTACTGACCTCATTCAACCCGGTTCGGAGTGAGAGATCAGAGGATTACCGCGCTAGGTAGCGTAGCTGTACGCCATATTGTGTTTTTCGCTAATGTTTATAGTTTGTGTGCCTAGCATATGTTTGTGCAAGTGTGTTTATCAATAGAACTTTTAGAAAATCCCTGCCTCATGCCTCTTCAGCATCCTTAAAAAGGATAACAGCTGGGGGCGGGGGGTAGGGGGAGGACCCAAAAGCCACACAGACAGGAATGCATTAAACAATGTACGAGAGACGGCATTCGTTTTAAACTTTCAAGAACCTTCCAACCATTTTTATCTCAGGTATCAGAAAGTGTTAACATGTTTTAATGTTTCCAAAGTGGCCCAAAGGAGAAGAGAAAGAAGGAAAGGTGTGTCTTCCCTTCCCAATCCCCCTCCTCTCTAGTCGTAGAAGCGAAGCAGGCGGGGGCCGGGAGCTCCGGCGTCTGGAGAGGCATCCAGCGGCTGTGGGGCCAGGACACCTCCTGCCCCCCAGTTCTCTGAAGACGCTCCAGAGACCGCGAGAGCCACGGCAAGCAGGGGAGGGCGAGGAGGGAGGGGGCAGAAGACAAGCGGGCGCCTCTAGCAGCTCCTGAGCCCCGGCTAGTCCCCCTCAGCTCCTCTTCTTGGAAGCAGCGGCTCCAGGCGCAGGGAGTAGAGAGAAGAAGGCAGAAGACACGTTTCCAGCTGCGGGACGTCCCGCCCGCCCCGCCACCCGCCGACCCTCCCACGCCTCCCTCCCGCCTCCCCGCCGGGTCGGGCGAGGCAGCCTCCGGGCGCTAGGAGGGGCGCCGGGGGAGGGGGCGCGGGCGGGGCGGGGCGCGGGGGCGCGCGCTCTCGGCCAGCTCAGGGCCCGCTGGCTCGCCGCTCTGTAACTCGCTCCCCCAACCCCACCCCGCTCCCCTCCTTCCCAGTCCCGCCGCCCCCCACTCCAGGCGCCTCGCAGACGCCTCATCCCCCTCGGCACGCACACACTCCTCCCTCCCTTCCGCCCGCCCCACAACAAATTAGAGTTTTTGGCGTTACCTCCTCGCGCTCTTTAATCTTCTTTCCTCAACTCCTAAACTTCCCCCCGCCCCTACTTCTTCAGCAGAAGGCATACATTGGACGCCTCACTCCGCGAACCCTCTATCGCTCTCCGCTATAGGATTGCTCTCACGCCACTCTTGGCTTCAGTGAGCCAATGAGAATGGGACGCCCCTCGTGAGGTTGCCGCCCATAAACAAAATACACTCTTCCTTCTTCCCTCCGCCCCCCGTCCCCGCCCCTTTCTTTCTCTTCCCTCATCTCTGTCACCTTCGATTGGGCTAAAAGAGGCCCAATCCGCTATCGCAAACATCCATTGGGACGCGGAAACTTCGCTCAGAGCAGTATTAACAGGCGATTGGTCGACGGTCCTTCCACTTCGCCCATCCCCACACCCCCCTCCCCCCGCCGCACCTTCACCCACTCTGAAGAGGTCAATCGTTTCTCGTTGTTCAATGATCCGGGAGGTGGATGGCTATTGGTTCAGGGAGCCCGTCAGACCGGACTGGAGTGAGCCGTGATTGGTCGACACAGGCGCAATCATGTTCGGTTGCTTACTCCTCCGCTCCTCCCTCCTTTTTCCTCCACGCCCCCGCCCCCCCACCTCCCTACTGCTTTTACTTTCTACGCATTTCTATTTCCTCCTTTATTTATTTATTTGTGATAAACTTAAATGACCTGGCGATGGAGGCGGTACTCTAGGAGAAGGCTGAGGATGACGAGCGGCGGCCCGGGGCCAATTGCCGAGAGGGCTGCGGGGTGAGGGGCAGCGGCGGTGGCCAGTGAGAGGCAGGTGTCTGGAGCGCGCCGGGCCTATGGAGCCGGGATGCCCCAGCGGAGGCGGCGGTTACCCGCTGTCTGGCGCGGCGAGCCGCGCGGGGGGAGCCGCGGGAGCGGAGAGGGGGTGTCGCTGTCGTGGACGGCTGTGGCTGCGGGATGGAGGCTGGATGTCGGGCGGTGGGTGGGAAAGCGGGAGGGAGGGTCTGGCTGGCGGCGGCGCGCAAGGCCGCACCGGGTCACGCCTGATGCCCGCGGAATGGGGCGCGGGTTACCAGACCGGGTCCCCAGGGGCCGCCTGAACAGTGCTAGGGCTCAAGGAAGAATTTGTTCATGCTGAAGATTTAGAAAAATACTATGTAAAACAGTTTGGAGTAAGCCTCCCTCAATATAAATGAGATTTATTATCCTGCCGGAAAAAGCAGATTGTTTCTTATTTCTGAACGCCTGAAGTACCAATGACCCAACCAGAGCCCGCAGAATTCAATATCCTGGGTAGTAGAAGGAACAAATAAAGTAACACGGAAAATTAAGTGTGATTCAAATGTTTCAATAAAACCTTCGTCCTCAGCCATTTGTCACTCAACATAGCGCTCCCCAGAGCCAAATTCTTACCAAATATTGGTCCAGTACTCAGGCATTGAAGAAAAAAATGAGGCTGAAGTCCAGCAGGAAGCCCAGGATAGATTCCTAAAAAGGATTTCTTACAAGGGCCAAGATGGGAGGGTTGGGGAAATCGCTTTTCACTATACAAAGAAAAAAATTACTGCCAAAGTAAGTTTTACTTTTTTAGGGAGCTGATATAGCAATAATTTCTCACAAAATCAAAAGTACCATGCATGCAAAGAATATACTATACTTGGGATTTGAAAATGACATTGTTTCTAAGACATGGATTTGATGTATAGTTTCCAATAGACTTAAGTCCTCTGGATTTTAACCCAGGCTTCTTTGGAACGTACAGCATGCTTTCACATAAGATGCCTGGTTAGAGGTCTTTGACAGAAACTAAGCAAAATAAATTGGCCCTGGTGAAAAAAAAATTTAAGGGCCTTGACCTCATTAATACTATTAAAACTATCTTATGAGGATTATATGTATGAGGCTCTGAGAATCCAGAAAATTATTGTGTTTGTTGACAAATTTGAAGTCTGGGAATTGCTAGTGAGTTTGGAAACCAAAATGCTTTTAAACTTATATATAAATCTTAGCTAAAAAGTGATATTGACCGGGCGCGTCGGCTCACACCTGTAATCCCAACACTTTAGGAGGCCGAGATGGGCGGATCACTTGAGGTCAGTAGTTTGAGACTAGCATGGCCAACCTGGTGAAACCCCGTCTTTAATAAAAAATACAAAAATTAGCCGGGTGTAGTGGTGCACATCTGTAATCCTAGCCACTAGGGAGACTGAGGCAGGAGAAATGGCTTGAACTCGAGGCAAAGGTTGCGGTGAGCCGAGATCACGCCACTGCACTCCAGCCTGGTGACAGAGCAAGACTCTGTCTCAAAAAAAAAAAAAAGAAAACAGAAAAAGAGAAAGTGATTTAGTAAGAATAAGTGTTCCATACAGAACAATCAGCAGCAGATAAGAAAAATCAGTAAAATTTAACATTGGTGTTCAAACAGTTACTCCTGTAACTTCAAGGAGCGGTGGCCACTCCTTCCAAGTCATTCTTAAAACTCGTTGTTTTCAACAAATTTTTAAAGATATTATTCAGCATATTGGCATGAGAGTTAAGATTATGATAGGGCACTCTAGGAAAGCAGTGCAAAATATTCTAATTCCAATAATAATGATAAGGTGAAGCCCTAGGGATTACTGCCCCTATTTAAGGTGGTGGTTATGTCCTGTTCTTGTGATACACGCCATATTGTGTTTTTCGCTAATGTTTATACTTGGTGTGTGTGCCTAGCATATGTTTGTGCAACTGTGTTTATCAATAGAACTTTTAGAAAATCCCTGGGGAGGATTTTGGGAGAAACGAATTATAATCTTTCTGTCTCTAAGAAATCCCTCAATTTTCATATTTACATTACATGTCTACGTACCTTGATCACACAGATACACAAACACCCCAAAAGATGTACCAAGAATTCCACAATTATGTCAAGCGTCAAGAGAGATGTTTTCTCTGTTAGCAAATATCGGAATTGAGCAAAAGAATAAAACAAGCAAGATGTGGTAAGAAAGGAAGGGAAGATAATACCAAAAAATAGCTGGGTGTGATGGCGCGTAGTCCCAGCTACTCGGTAGGCTGAAGCAGGAGGATCTTTTGAACCCGGGAGCTGGAGGCTGCAGTGAGTCGAGATTGTGCCACTGCCTCCAGCCTGGCGACAGAGCGAAACTCTGTCTCAAAACAAAACAAAACAAAAGCAGAAAGGAAGGGAGATGTTGAAGGCAAGATTGATAGAAAATGAAAATACAAGTTACTGCTTAGAGAAGAATTTTAACGGACTTTTATACTTCTTTCAGTCCATTAGTCTATTGCCTTCACAGATTATAAATAGTTTACAGTTCCCAAGGCTTCAAAAGAGGCCAAACTAGTAGCAAACATAATCTATTTATGTTACTAATGAGGACACAGACTTCGAATACTTTATCCAGTGTTACAAGTAGCAGAGCTTGTTTTTAAACTCGTCTGTCTGCCTCTTTCCACTATACTGTTTACTCATTCAACAAGTACTAAGTGTGTATATTCATACTAACTATAATTATTGGACATTTAAGATGCCAGGAACTTAGAAACTAAGCATAAGAATTGGCATTTTTCTCCAAAGACTTGACTGTGTCTTGGAAGAAAGAAAGAAAGGAATGAATTATGCTGTGTACACATATGGCGTATACAACACGGGAATACATAGCAAAGAATGCCTAACTCTTAAGAAGTTGAAAATATTTGTAACACACTGAACTGATAACTATACTGAATTCAAAAGTTAATCAAATGAGATCTTGCTGCCCAGGGACTTAGATTTTAATGAGGGCAAGAATTATATATATACACATATATACACACACCCACACTAGCCAAATGGAAAGAATAGTAGAATAAATAGTACACTTTGAGGAATGGAAGTGCAAAATCAGGGAAGCAGTAACTTTTGAGATGTTTTTTTCTGTATCTGTTAGAGAATTTTCCATCCATACACACACACAACCACATATGAAATACATGTCACTTCATATTTTTTGCCATTTGCCTAAAAACAGGTACTACTTTTCTACACATGAGCTCATTAATAACCTGAGCAGGTAACAGCCAATAAAACAATATTAAAGGAAAAAGTCTTTTTTTCATAATGAAAGAAAATTTAACCATCAAAATTTGTCAGAAAAATGTGCAAAAAATTAAGATTAGACATTTTACATCCAAAGCAACTTAAAAGAGGTTTCTATAAATCCTTGTGTAATACAGATGAGAAACAAGTTATTCTGCACCTGGAAACGTATATAAAATTTGCCTTTGACCTCCAAATCCATAATATGGTAGAAATCTGAGGCCCTTATTTCACTGGATATGCAGGGGCTTATGCTTTCCTGGTTTTTTGTACACCCACATTTTCATTTCCATTCAGTTTTCTCTTCTGCACCAAGCCATTGATTTACATGGGAAATTCACATCAGAACCAAGATTAGTTTCAAACAAACCCTTATTCACATAATAAGTGTATAATGGAATTGAGTGAAGAATGGGTTGTTATAGAAAGGAGAATAGGAGAAAAGGAAAAAGAAAAGATGAAATTTATTAATGGTGAGGTATACTGATTAGATGAACTGAACATGGAAACAGAATAGAACCCAGAAATCAGCTCATGCATAAATGTCAATTTGATTATGTTACAGATTGGCAACACAGATTACTGGGAGAAAAAAGACTATTCAATACGTGGTATTGGGAAAATGGAAGAACAAAGAACTTGGATCTCTATACAGCACACACAAATCGATTTTAGATACTTTAGGAACTAGATTATGTGTTCAATCTGTAAATACAAGGTGGGAACTGTAATTGGAAGTTCTACTGGAATTACCTAAGTGGATTTGGGGAGGAGCAGTCCATGAAAGGAGCACAGGATAAATAAAACAAATGTCCAGTATAACAAAGGCCCATTTACTTTCTTGAGTCCCTAGACCTAGTTGTGCCTAAAGACCAGCTGTAACTCCTGTCATTCCTATTACCACAAACCTATGACATTTCTTTCAATTGGTTAAGATTGTTTAAATTGGGTTTTTATTACTTGGAATTTGACATTTGTAAGTCTTAGTTGATGTCTAAAAATAATTTTACAGTTTTATTTA